CCCACCCTCAACGCTGTCCCAGAGTCACAGAGCTGCTTAACCCTCTGAACGAATGATGGTCCCAGGTCCCCTCTTGACCTGGACTCCTGACCTGGTGCTCCTCAAAATTATCCATGCAACAGAGTTCCAGGACCCAGGCACAGAGCCAGCTAGGAACTTAGCTGGCTGTCCTCAAGGTTGGAGGTGGCAGTGGTTATGGATTGGAGAAGTTTTTGAGGTTTTCAAAGAGGAAGTGGGGCTTCTGCCTGTGGTTCCACTGTGTTTCTCTTTTGACTACATGAATCAACCTGATAGTCCTGGCTCTACTTTACTTCCCAAACCCCTTAATGAATAATAAACCCTGATATTTGCACACAACTTTTTATTGCAGCAACATCCTGCAAAACTTCTTATAACTGGATTATAAATTCCAAGGTCTGGATCATGTTCCTAGGGGCTAAATTCCCAGAAACTAGTCCAATGCCTGATACATAGTTGGCAATCAATAAATATGTGAATGAATATGTAAGTGAATGAACGAATGACAGGTTTTTACAGTAACTGCAGGGTGTCAGGTGCCAATTCCACACTTTATTTCCCCAGACCTTAACTTGGGCTTCTGTCTATCTTTATTTTTCTGGGGGTTCTTTGGTCCCTAAAGGGAATCCAGACTGTATTGTACCACTCTAGTAGCCTTTTTTGTACCTCTTCATAGGTGCCTTTCCAACAATTCTTCCCTGAGCTCTCCTTCCCCTCTGGGAAATCGCACCCCCAACTTGGGTCATGTGATCTTAAGCTAGTCACTTTCCTTCTCTGAGTTTTAGTTTTCTTGTCTGTAAAACAGGAATAATAGCATACATATTGCAGGGTTTTTGTGCTGACTGAGTTACACAAAGCATGTAGAAGTACTTTGTTGGGTTCCTGGCACACAGTGAGGACTCCAATGCCAGGAGCTATTACTGCGGTGTGTAGACTGGTGTGGGGGCAAGACTGCACTGGATGAGAGCAGTCGTCTCCAACCAGGGGTTAGTGAAAAAAGTGATAAAACTGAATGTAGTTCATCTCTCCAAGTGTGCTGCCTAAATTCTGTCTTCCAAAGTAAACCAGGAATATCCATCAGCAGCTTTTAGAAAGCTGACTTGCAGATACATACCTAACTAGGCAAAGACTGATGTACAATACTAACAGTAATCCACATTTGTCAGATGCTTGCATTGGGCCAGGCACTGTTCTAAGGGCTTTACATGAATTATCTTGAGGAATCATTGAAAGAACCCTGTGAGGCAAGTGCTACTATTATCCCCATTTGACAGATGAAGAAATAGGCACAGAAGTTAAATGATTTGCCATAATCACAGAGCTGGGATTAAATCCAGCAGAGCTAACATTCTTTTTTTTTTTAACATTTTTTTTCCGATTCTTTTCCAATATAGGTTATTACAAGATACTGAGTATAGTTCCCTGTGCTATATAATAAATTCTTGTTGTTTATCTATTTTATTCATAGTGGTGTGTATCTTTTAATCATATACTCCTAATTTGTTTCTCCCCGCTCCTCTTTTCCCTTTGGTAACCATAAGTTTGTTTTCTATGTCTGTGAGTCTGTTTCTATCTTGTAAATAAGTTCATTTATACTGTTTTTAGATTCCACATGTAAGTGATATATAATATTTATTTTTGTCTGAGAGCTAATGTTCTTTTTCTTCTTTTTTTTTTTTTTTTTTGGCTTTTGGGTTTTTTGGAGGAGAGGTAATTAGGTTTGTTTGTTTTTTTACATTCTAACAGAGGTATTGGGGATTGAGCCCAGGAGCTCATGCATGCTAAGCAGGCATTCTACCACTGAGCTATACCCTCCTCTTGAGACCTAATATTCTTAACCACGCTGCATATTTTCCCTGTATGAAGATCATTTGCAGTCTTGTGTGGAACAGGGGGAAAACTGGAGTCCACCAACAGAGAAATGCTACATATCAGGACATAAACATGGTCTTTTGCAGTGGGACACTCTACAGTCAGGCAAAAACAGGAGGCAGAAGTGTATATTCTGGCATGAAATGATGGCCACGGTAGGTTGTTGGATAGAAAAAGCTGCAGAACAGTATTATCATATAATCCAGTTGTGTATAAAATTTAAAAGTTCATTTACTTGTTTATAGGTTCATGGATAAATGTCTAGAAGGATAAATACCAAATAATTCACATTGACCACCTGGGAAACTGGGAAGGAGGAGAGCCTCCATTTTTTTGGTCTTTATCTTCTCTGTTGCTTGAATCATTTACCACTAGTCTGTTTTGTAATTAACAGAAAGAAGAAGTAAGAAGTGAGCCAGGAGCCTGAGGACCCCTGTCCACCCCTCCAGCTCTTGTCCCCTTGGCCTTTTCTGAGGCCTCCCTAGTGTCTCCCATTTACCCCTGAAGGCCCCTCAATCCTACTTTTCCCCCATGAGCACTACCCAAGCCCCCTCTGGTCTCTGAGGACTTGCCTTGGCTTGGGTCTCTCATCTGCGTCCAGGCATTGGTGCAGGTTCCCCAGTGAGGAGGCCATGGGTCCTACCCCGTGTTGCCCCTGGGGGAATGTGGGATTTGGTGACATCACAGTTAGGCCGGTGGCATCGCAATGGACCTGGAGGCTGACAAGACAGAGGACCTGGCAGGGCCCAGGAGATGGGAGCAAGGAAGGAGTTGGCAGGTGGAGGCTGTTTCAAGTGGGAACTTGAGGGATTGTGCCCTTAGCCTGCCTCCCAGGACACTGCTAGCCTAGTTGTTCAGGGATTGGAGACCTGGAAATCTCCAAGGCCTTTTTCCTTTTTGTTCCTAACCAAGAGGTTGTACAGACTTTTCTGAGAGTTGAGAGCAGGGTGTGATGCCAGGAGGGGGTGAAGTTGGCAGATGGAAGCCAAAGGTGTGTGTAAATCCTCCTAGGGGGTGTGGGTGGGGTCTTCCGTGGGTGCCCAGCGAGACTCTTGCTCCTCTTGATTCCAGTGAGGCTGGAAGGGAGGCAAGCTGTGGCTTGGGAGTCTGGGAGCGCTCTAGCTTTGGGGGGCAGAGTGTTGGTGGATCAAGACGGCAAGGAGTGCATGGGAGAAGTTCCTCATTAATCTGAAGGATGCTGAGAGGGCAACTGAGACCAGGCGAAAGGGACACTAGGGAGGGTTGTCGAGGTATTGGGAACAGCACGTCAGAAAAGAGCATGAGGAACAGAAACAAAGCAGTAGAGGTAGCATTGGAGGTGGGTTCACATTGCCAAGAGACCATGGAATCTGAGGGCTGGCACTAGAGAGCTCTTGACTACTTGCTGTGTGACTCTGGGTGAGTTGCTTACTCTCTCTGAACTTCTGTTCCTTTATCAAAGGAATAATAAAACCAACCACACAGGCTTGTTGTGAAGATTAAATGAGATAATGCTTACGAAGCTCCTAGCACACTGCCAGGCACATAGTGAACTGTTTGTAAAGGTAGCGATTGACTCTAATCCTTGGAATATTCCAGCCTGAGCCTAGTGTTTCATCGTCTATTCTGGGTGTGTATAATGTCAGGATTCTTGGTTGTAAGCTGTAGAAACCACTTCAGGAGGATTTAAGGAGAGAAGGAATTCACTTAAAAGATGTTGAGGATGCTCAGAGAAGGTCTGGGAAGGCTGCAGAGCCAGGCTTGGAGAACTGGCTGGATCAAGGGAAGCTGGGAGCGCCAGAACCACACAGAGAGGACTCTGTGACCCCCTCTGAACCCCTCTCTTTCCTCTGCTGTCCTGGAAGCTGATGCAGCACCATGTACAGAGTGGGTACCACTGACCTGCCACCTCAGGGCCACCAGCTTCTGATCACAGACTGGATGGGCACATCTGAGCAGCCTGGTCCGTGTCATGTGCCTGCATCACTTGTTGGGGCAGGGAGGTCGGAATGAAGCATGTGGTCATTTTGGCTATAAAAGTGTTAATATGCCTTCTGCCTCCATCCAGACTCAGGTGGGAGAAGGTTCCAGATGCTGGACATCTAAAAAACCTGACAAATGTCTACATGGGAAACAAGAATAAGTAGAGAGTGGTCCCTGCCCTTGAGATACTCATGATACATAGAGGTCAGTTATATGGGTAAATAATGATAGGAAGTGATGGAGGGCAGAGTGGAAGTGAATACCGACCAGGGGCTAAGCTGGCAAAGTGACATGCCCCTTGCCCACAGTGGAGAGTTCAAGATGTCCCTGTATGTTCCAGACCACCTGGGGACGGGGCATGCCAGGGTGGAGTTGGAGGCCTGGGGGACTGTCACACTGGCTCAAACACTGCAGACACACCAACTGAGCAGACTTTGTGGGAAGCCCGAGGGTGACCTACCCTCTGCTCACAGGAATGATCAAAGTGCTCAGCCCGAAAAGCTGTTTCTATCCTAAGGGGCCTCCCTTTTGATACCGAGTCATGCCTTACAAGCATTTTGCTGTCTTTGAATTATCTCTTGCCCAGTGGGGGCCTTGGCATTTTATCAAATTAGAAAAAGTATTCCCCAGGATAGAGAGATCAGAGATGGGACAAGGAGGAAGATGTACTTGCTGCCTCCTGGGCCTCTGCTCTGTGAGATCAGATCCCTGCTCTCTTCCTTGTCTCACCCTGTATCTTCCTATGTTGCCTGCTCTTGTCTCTGCTTGTTCCAGTTCATGCCATCACTGTCACTTTCTTCCCTGTCATCATCACTGCCATCTCTGTCCCAGCTGGATCCCCATCCCCAGAAGGACCCCATCTCCAGTCTTTGAGCTTTGCTCTGTCCCTTTCTTGCTCAGCCATCTGGGTCCTCTGAGAGCCAGAGCTAACACCCCCATCCCATCCCACCCCCACATACTGAAGTTTGAGTAGCCCCAGTACACTGTGGTCCAAAACTCCTGCAGAGTTGTCTTGGGGAGGTAAAGGCTGGTGGGTGGCTCACCCTTGTCAGGTCTGCAGGGCCCTCTGCCTGCCTGCCTGCCCCCCTCTTCCTATTTGTGGCAACTTCAAATGTAGCGTCTTCCTGTCATCTCACACGCACGGGGGCCTCAGCCACAGGCAGAGGCTGACTGCCCGCCTGCCCACCTGCTTCCTCCTCCAGCCAGCGGGGACTTCTGCAGAACCAGGTGAAGAGCCTCACACAGGCGTCCCCTCCTTCTCGGGTGTTCTAAGACCTGGGGCAGGGCTGGGAGGAATCTGGAAAGAGGGAGAAGAGACAGGGTTTTGGAGGGCTGAGACACTCATGTGAGGGTGCCAGACCCCAAGGGCACTTGGGCTTCAAGAGGGGAAGAGGAAGGGCCTGGGGACATTTGCCGAGACCAGTGTTCCCCGTGCTGTGTGGCCTTTGATGAAAGCAGCAGAGAAGTGAGGTACTGACTGAACAGACAGCTGAGACAGGGCCACCTGTAGGCCAGTCAGAACCAGGGGACTCGGCCCACTCTCTCCTGGGAAGTCTGGGTAGCGGGACACTGGGGCTTTCTCAGTTACCCAGAAAGGCTGTGTGAATGAGCTGGGATGCAGGGACAACCCTTGGTGAGCTTGTGGTTGGTAGAGTCATGGAGTCATGAATCCCTCCCAGCATGGAAGGGAGTAGCTTCTCAATTCCCTGTGGCCTTGAGGAGGTCTGAAATGTTTCCTCAGATCTCTGAGCTCACTTGGAAGTAACCTCCATAAGGACCTTCCTCTCTCCTCTCTCTTCCAGGGATGGGGATCAGGCCAGCTCTGCTCTTCACCTCTGATTGGCTAATCCCCCCATTCAGTCCTCTTCTTGAACCTACCAGGAGAGCATCATTGGTTTCTAAATGTCAGCACTGAGAGAGTCCTTTTATATCAGCCAGCCAGTCTAATAATCCCATTTTGCAGATAGGGAAACTGAGGTCAGAGGGGGTAGTTACTGGCTCAAGGTCACATGGTGGTTTCATGGGACAGCCAGTCCTCAAAGCCAAGCTCCTATTTGGAGGACCTTTGCTGCTCACCTGGGATTGATCTGTCTTCCCAGCAGATAGCGGGGGCATGAAGGGAGAACCTGCCCCAGAGTTGGGTTGTTGCCAGAAGACCAAGCTCCTTGGGAGCACAAGGGGCTCCCTGTCCCCTAGCCTGGACTTCCAGCTCTGCCAAGGTGACCAGGTAAGGTGAGGTCCTAGCCCTATCCTTGAAGCCAGGCTACTTATGGAAAGAGGGAGAGGACGTTACGAGGAAGTGGGGAAATCTGAAGGGAACTAGATTCCTCTGGTCCTGAGTATTCCCACCCTGCCACATCATGGGGATGTGCCCTTGAGGGGCCAGAGACCCTCTCCTATACCCCAGGGACCAGACTCTCCCGTCATGAGAAGGGTCAAGGCCATGCCGGAAGCTTGGCTGTACGTCTGGGACCTAGGCCTTGGGGTGGGGTGGGGCTCAGGACCATCCTGTGGGGTTTAGAGTCTTTGATGAGGAGTTTTTCCAAGTTCACCCTTAGCTCCATTCAAAACACAGTAGATGATCTGAGACGCAGTGGGGTGAGGGTGATCAGGAAGGATGGGTGGGAGGGAGAACAGGGCTAGGGACAGAGGAGGGCAATCCTGGGGGTAGGGGTATAACTCTCTAGGGAGGAAACTTGGATGAGGGAGGGGAAGCCATTTGAGTGACAGACATGGTGGGTGGGTATATGTGGGAGGGTCTTGCTTCTCCTCCCTCTTTGGAAACCAAACCAGGAGTGGGACCTTCTCAGGGACCCAGGAGTCCCAGCCCCCAGCCACCAAGCCCCTTCCCCCTGCCCTCCAGGTCTTCCCAGCCTGCAGGCCACTTCCAGACACAGTGGATGCCCATGGCTCATCCTGTGCAAGCTGGCTGTGCCCCTTGACACTGGCACCAGCCACATCTGCCCTGCTGGCCTGCCCCCAGGGCCTGGACCTGTACCTGTGCGCCCTGCAGTCAGCACCCCTAGGCACAGCCTCACAGGGTCTCAGAGAGGATGCCTTGAGCACAAGTAAGCCCAGGGTACAGGGCTGCACCTTGTTGGAGGCTGGAGGTGGGGGGCACTGTTAGGTTTGAGGACAGGAGACCAAGGGGACCCAGTGTCACTGGTGAGGACAGAGCCTCAAACACACTCTACTTCCACATTTTGGCCTGGAGCTCTGGCTTGAAGTTCAGGGGGCTTTCATGTGGTGACACCTGAGCAGAGGAGGTGGGCAGTGGCTTTCTCAGGCCTGGGTATGGGGTCTGGTGTAGGTGTAGTCAAAGCCCCGGGGGTTGAGGATGGCGCTTTGTCTGCATAGAACATTTCTGCTAGGGGGATCTTTATTACAAGATAAGAGCACTGACTTGGAGTCAGGGAGTCGGGGGCGCAGTTCTGGCTCTGCTCTTGCTAACTCTCTGACCTTGGGCACATCCCTGAGGCCGGTTTCTTCTTCCACAGAAGTATGATCTCACTATACCTATGTTCCACGTTGATTGCTTACAATACACCATTTCCTTATGCAACTTGACCCGGAGGGCAGACTGCACAGGTTTATTTCCCCAGCACAGAGTAAAACAGCTCAGTAATGTTGGTTTAGTGAATAAATGAGGATCCAAGCAGACAATCTACTTTTTAATATTTATATATAATATTTATATATTTTAATATATTATACATATAATATTATATGTATTTTACTTTACATCCCTCCTAGTTTAACTCCTCCCTCACTGACTGTTGCATCTCAGTCTCCCTTGCTAGCTCTCTTCTACTTACCTCCTAAATATCTCATGCTCAGGAACTAGGTCCTGAGCCTTCTTCTCTTCCCTCCCTTCCCCTCCTCACCCTTCCTCACCCCTCCTCTCTTCTCCTCTCCCCTTCCTCTTCTTTCCCCGCTCCTGTCTGCTTCTTTTTATCTACAGTAGCAGTTTGATATAACTTTCTGCCATAATGGAAATGCTCTATGCCTGTGCTGTCTGGATACCATACCTCTTCAGCCTTTTAAATGTGCAGCTGAGGAATTGAATTTTTAATTGTACTTACTTTAATTAATTTAAATGTAGTCACATGTGTCCAGTGGCTCCCATTTTGGACACAGCAGATCTAGTATCATCCTTTATGGGATCTCCTGTGGGCCCATGATACCCAAATTTATGTTTCTAGCTCAGATCGCTCCTTTAAACTCCAAACCAATTCATCCAGCTGCCCTCTTGACTTCTCCACCTGGATGTCTAATAGGCTTCTTAAATTGTTTTCTCTCCCTGAAATTGTTTCTCACTGCACAAATACTAGCCACTTTTACTGACAAGAGCAATTGCAGACCAGAAAGTCCAGAGAGGGGAGATGCCTTTGTAAGCTAGAGTTCTCTCCCAGCTCCGAGCCAGGCAGGTTAGATGAGGAGCAGAACTTTACTAGGGGTCCCTGATCATCTTCTGTTTTCTGCTCAGGGCACCAGCCACCAAGGCTGCATGCCGGCTCCTCCAGTGACGAGAAACTCAAAGCCAAGTACCCTCCAAGCAGGGACGAAATGGAAAGCCAGCCGGAAAGAGTTGGCGAGGGGCCCCCCTGCCCATCCCTCTCTCCTCACAACAGCTCTCCCCCAAACCCCTGGCAGAATAAAAAGAGCCCCAGCCCCCTGGCTTTCCACTCCTGCCCCCTGCCTGCTCCTATCTCCAAAGAATTCCCACCCCACCTGCACCCATTCTATCCTGCATACCCACTTCTCCTGCCTCCACCTTACCTGGTCACCTATGAAGGTCTACCCTCTGTCCAGTGTCCCCCACTCTTCATGCTGCCCCAAGACACCTCTTTTACCACCATGGCTGTGCCCGGCTTGCTGATGAGTGTCAGTGAGCCTGGGCACTCCAGCGCCCAGGGGGAGACCCTGCATCTCTACCCAGGGGCCTCTCAAGCCTCTGGCCAAACCCAAACCTCCCAGGCCCAGAATCCAGGCCCTACAGCTGCCAGGACCTACTCCACAGGGTTGGAGCGTCCTGGCAGGGTAGTTCCAGCAAAGCGGGCCCCACCAGGCTCCCAGGCAGGCTCTGCAGCGCTGCCTTACCCGCTGAAGAAAGAGAACGGCAAAATCCTGTACGAGTGCAACGTGTGTGGCAAGAGCTTCGGGCAGCTCTCCAACCTTAAGGTACCTGCCTCCGGGTTCTGCTGCTTCTGCTCAGCATCCTTCAATGACTCCCCTCCTGGCCTGCTTCTAGAATCAGAGAACTTAAAGCCAGAAAAAACTCCAGGGCAACCGCTAGGGCCTTGGCTGATTCATTTGGACCCTCAGTTTCACATCTCTAGAAAGAAGTCCTCGCCACACTAAAAGACTGCCTAGGAGATCATCTCATTTAAGTTAAAAATGGGGAAACTGAAGGAAGGGTTTGCCCAAGATTACTTTGATCTAATGGTGCAGCCAGGCCTTGATCTCAGTCTCTCAACATCTAGTGCAAAGTCCTTTCTTGAACAACCATCCTCTCTGATTCCCAGTTAAGCCTCCTCTTGTTTATTTATTTGAAGGTGAGGTTGGGGAATGGATACATTTTAGTGAGTGTAGACTACAGACCTGACAACCAGACTTTTTCAAGTGGGATCCCACACATCCGCGCTGGTGCTGGAGCTGTCATTATAGGCACTGTCCAGCAGGAGGCAACCATGGACGCATCTCTGCGTATCAGCAAAAACTGGGAACTAGGTGCAATCCGGCACCTGCTAAATTGAGGAAAAGCTATGGTTATTGGAGAACAGCCCTTCTGGATCCTCTAGGGCATGAGTTCTTAAACTTTAATGAGCCTTAAGTCACCTGGAGAGCTAGTAATGCAGATTCCTAGGCCCCGGCCCCAGAGATTTTAATTCAGTTGGTCTGGGATGGGGCCTGCGAATCTGCATTTCTAACATGCTCCCAAGTGATGCTGATGATGCTGGTCTGTGGACCACACCCTGAGAAGCACTGAACAAGATGTATGTGTGTACATATGGGGTATCCCTTTTCTGGTCTGCTGACCACTGCCATCTCCCCTGCTGCAGGGCCGCAGAGAGAGTGGGGTGAGGGTGTCCTGGGGAAAGGTAGATTGGGAGATGATACAGAGGCAAGGGGATTGAGAGGCTTTGATGGCAAAAAGGGGTCCTTGTGGGGAAGTGGTTAGAGATTGAAGAGGATCCCTGGCCCTACTGGGGGGCTTTGGGCAGTTGGCAGCATTTCTCCTGCACCTGGCTCAGGTCCATCTGCGTGTGCACAGTGGGGAGCGCCCGTTCCAGTGTGCCCTGTGCCAGAAGAGCTTCACCCAGCTCGCCCACCTGCAGAAGCACCACCTGGTGCATACTGGGGAGCGGCCCCACGAATGCCTGGTGAGACCCTCTTCCCCCTCCCCTGTACTCCTGCAGACTGGTGAGGAGCTCCAGGCCCCTGGGGGGTGGCACCTGTGGCCTCCATTCCCCAATCATCCTGAAAAAGTGAGACAAGACGGGAGGCAAGGGTGGGGACAGGGAAGGAAGTGGTCGGGAAGGGCTGTGATGTGATATTGGAGGTTACTCCCTGGGCCTGGAGCAAGGAATAGAGATGTATGTCTGTGAGGGGAGAATAATGAAGTTGGGGGTCCTAGGAAGTGAATATCCATTGCCCACTTCACATCATAGTTGGAGGGGTTAACGCTATAGTGTGTGCAAAGCATATAAACACTGCTTATAATGTCAGTTTGATGCTAGCTCTCTCCTCTTTGAGCCTCACCGTCTTTTAGGAGGTCAGAAGGGTAGGGACTCGTACCCTGTTTTACAGAGGCAGAAATGAAAACAGCATAGTGGTTATGAGTCTGGGCTACTGGGTTCAAATCCTAGCTCTGCCTCCAACTTGCTGTGTGAGCTTTGGCTAGTGGCTTCCCTCCTCTGAGCCCCTGCTTTCTTACTGTAATATCTGAGTAGTACTTAGTCCTGCTTCTCCAGGTTCCTGGGAAAGACTGCATGAGACCAGTTCCTGGCATGTGGCAGCTCTCAGTAAATGTTAATTATGCCCACTGAAGCTGCAGCCCCATGCATGAGTTCTACGTGATTATCTCATTCAGTCCACCATACCAATGAGGTTAGGTACTAATAGTCTCATGTTACCAATAAGGAGAGCAAGACTCACAGAGGGGAAGTCACCTATATAAGGTCATGCAAGGAGTAAAAGAACCATGATACTAACCCAGTCTGTCTGGCTCCAATGTGCCAGACACTGGGCCCCAGGGAAGAATGATGGGGGAAAGCTTCCAGGCTTGCACTACTGGGAGGTAGTAGGAGGGCATTTCTAAGATGGGGAAAGGGAGCAGAGGTCCTGAGTCAACCAGGTGGGCAGAGGTGACGCCAGTGTCCATTCCCATCAGATGTGCCACAAGCGCTTCAGCAGCTCCAGCAACCTCAAGACGCACCTGCGCCTGCACTCAGGAGCCCGGCCCTTCCAGTGCACTGTCTGCCCAAGTCGCTTCACCCAGTACGTTCACCTGAAGCTGCACCATCGGCTGCATGCCCCACGGCCCTGTGGCCTTGCTCACACCCACCTTCCCCTGGTGTCTCTGGCCTGCCTTGCCCGATGGCACCAGGGGTCATTAGATCTTGTGGCGGCACCATCAGAGAGGCAGATGGGCTGGGATGTGGATAAGGTCAACTTGTCCTCTGCATCCTGGCGAAAGGAAGGACAGCCAATTTGAGCAATGATGCTGGGACTGCCATGGGGAGGCAGCAGAGACAGAGAAATTAAAGGGTTTTCTCTGTGATGAGTTGAGGCCTCCTGAGCTTCAACGATGGAGGGAAGGTCACTATGTATTTGTGAAACTTCACACCCTCCAACCTGGGAGCAGGTCAAGGGGACACCGCCAGGAAGAGACTGCGCTGCCTACCACATGGGGTGGATGCCTGCAGCCATCTGCCTCTGGCTGGGTTTGAGTTCCACTCTCTGGGACCTATCTGGGACTAGTCCCTCCATCTCAGCTTGCCGATGGACAGTCCAGCCTTCTAGGACTCTGCAGGGTGCAGACTGTGCTGCCAAGCACAGGACACGTTGCCCTCTTTTCCGAACAGATGTTCCAGCACCTGCCCAGATGTCTATCTGCTGCTTCTCATCACCTTCTTGTCCCACAGTTCCTAGAGGCCACTGTGCCCCCTCAGCTGGTACTCCTTGCCATGATCAGATGGGGCATGCTCCTCCCTCTGTACATGCCAGGATCTGAGCTCCCCCTGTGGGAGGGACACGATCACAAGGATGTCAGTGTCCATGCATGACCCAGAAGCATCATGGCCCCCTGTGTGTCAGGACCAGTCATCACAGAGGGCAAAGGGCTAAGGGGGTGTCGAGCTCAAGGAAGGGGTTGAGGTCCTACAGGGACTGCAGGCAGGTAACAATTGGCAGAGAGAGCCTGGGGAACTGGGACCATCCTGATGGTCTTTCTCCCTGCAGTCCGAGAGGATCCACTCAAATGTGCAAGGTGCGCCCCTCCCCCACCTCTAGAGTTAGGCGGCAGCAGGTAGGAAAGGGTAGGAGGCGGCCCAGGTTATAATCACCATAGCTGGTCAACTTCCAGCAAGGGCGCCGTTCGCAATCCTGTGGGTTTCAGATTGGCTTCCCCAACAGGGTACTGGGCGAGATTCCCGCTGGGTTATAGGGTCTCGGGACCGGGACAGGGACCGAGAGCTCATAAAGGTCCACCATGGCAGGGTGAAGACAGGGTCGGTTTCGGCCCTCACGGTCCTGGTTTCCAGCTCACCCCGTCCCCTTTTTGGCCCCGCCCAGCATGCCAACCGTTCAGGCTAGGCCCCACCCACCTACAAGACCACACTCAGTCCTTCCCCTGGCCTCGCCCTTACGTTCTAGCTCCTCCTCCTGAGGGGGCGGGAAAGACACTTTGCTCAGTCCAGCCTCTTGGCCCGTTTTAGCCCCAGGCCTCTGTTTCCCCGCCTACCTGTGGCAGGTTCAGCTTGGGGGCTGCCAGCCTCCCTCAGGCCATTGTCGCCTCCGGAGGCCTAAAGAAGTAGCACGGACAGGACCGAGAACTAGGCCACGGGGACTGGGGGAGGTGGGGGCATCGGGGGGGCGAGGGCTCAGGAAAGTGGCTCGGTTGAGGATGACCCCTGCAGAGCGCACCCTCTGCCCTGGGGCATGGGTAGCATCTGGATCGGTACCCCCAGCCCTCGGCTCCCTGCGGGCGGGGCACTATTTGCTCAGGGAGGCGGGCTGGAGGAGGCGCTTCTCTGCAAATGAGCGGGATCCGGGTGGACCCGGGGCCTGGAGCAGTCAGGTGACCCGACACCCCGAGCCCGGGACCTTGCCCTTGCCATGGCCGAGGGGCGCGGGGGCCTGGGGGCCCGTTTGGCCCGCCACCTGGCCAGGCTAGGGGCCCGGAGGAAGCGCAAGGGGAAGCGGACCCCGGAGGAGGCCAGATCCCAGGATAGGTGAGGAGTTTGGAGGAGGAGGGCCGCGTGGGGTGCCCCTGGGCAGAAGGGTGTTCATGTGTGTCTTGAATGTAGTGGATGTTCAAATGAGCGTGTATGAGTGGGAGCATAAAAATATACCTATTGGTGTACCATGATTTTGGATATGTGGACTTTATAAAGTCCCTGTGCTTTTTTAAAACATTAAAACAAATTTTGTAATTTCCTAAGACTGGCAGGCGGCCTGCAGACAATGATTTCCTCTCTGGAGACTGTTGAAAGGCAAATATAGCTCCTCCCGCCTCTGTGGACTTTGATTCTCACATCACAGGCTAGTTTAACTCTGGTCTTCATGTCCCTTTGTCACAAGTGTGACAGGTTCCTAAGTTGGCTTAGACTGCCCTGCATTTACCCTTAGATGCCAGGAAGAAGTTTCCCCTGTTACCCCAGATTGTAATACCAATAAACTTTTATTTGCCACTTGCCTGGTGCCTTACCTGTATTATCTCAGTTTATCCTCACAGCAGCTGTACGAATCAGGTATTTTGTGTGATTCAGATACGTAAATGGAGGTTCAGAGAGGTGACGTCACTTCCCCAGTCACACAGCTGGGAAGTGGTGGAGCTGGGACACAGGTTTATGCAACCTGACTCCAGGGCTCACATCCTGAAGCACTGGGCTGCTCTGTTGCCTGGAGAGATTTCAGGACTGCAAGCCAGGGGCCCAGAGCTCTGTCCTAACCCTAGGTGCCCCTGACCACATGACCTTGAACAAGTTAATTCATCTCTCCTAGCCGGTTCACTGGTAGCTGACGTCTGAGAAGGAGGAAAAAATCTTTGTGAATGGCCAAGCTGAATGGCTGCAATGGGGTAGCAAATAGGACCCCAGTGGCTCACAGTCCCTATATCTGTAAAGAATGTGGGGTGTGCTCTCAGGCACAAATGTTTGTATGTCTATGCAGTTACTGGGCAATTTGTTCTGATCTTATCATGACATAGCTGTCTTCAGCCTGCCCTGGGAGGGTTGGGGGCGTGGTGGGGCCAGGGTGAGGGGAGGGGTTTGTACTGTTGTCTCACACCAAACAGAGAAGGGAGGGGAAGGCCTAACTACCCTATGCCTGGGTGCCAGTGGTGCCCACACCCTGCCAGTGCCCTGCCTGGAAGACACACCCCCTCCCTTTACCCTGCCTGGCAGGAACCTGCCCTATAGGCCAGAAGGCAGTGCTCCTCCCTTTCCCCACTTGAGAGGAGGCAGGGTGGGGGTGCAGGTGAGTCAGTAGTGCAGGTGAGTCAGTAACGAGGAGGGCAGGGAAGAGACTGCGCATGCTCCTGGGCTAACATGATGGTACATTCCATGTGGTGTGTACACTTGGACTTGGTTCTCACTGGCCATGAGAATGGAACTCTGGCACTGAGGTACAGGACTTCTATCTCTGCTGATTGTCTGGGATGGGGGCAGAGTGCACAGAGCGGGCAGCCAAGGCACTTCTCCATCTTGTCCCCGTTAGTGTGGTGATGACCAAATAGTCTTTGTAGTGGAGCCATCCTAGTGTCTTAACTCCAAGGCTTACTAGCTGTGTGACTCCAGGCAATTCACTTACTTTATATCTTTCTGGGCCTTGGTTACCTTATCTGAAAAATGGGGACACTAATACCCACCTTTTAGGATTATCGTGAGGCTTAAAGGAGATTATGTAGGCATAACATGTAGTCCTAAGCCTGGCATAGGGAGAAGAGCCTCAGCAAATGGTGAGCTTTTGAATTATTAGGGCACTGTCCTTTTTCTGTATTCTGGCCCTGATACAGGCCTCGTCTCCATTTTGGTCCCAAGTCCATCCCTGTCTCTCTGTCTCTGGGGGTGCAGGGGGAGAGAGCAGAGAGGAGGCTGCTGCACAGACTTCCTCCTCCCAACAAGGTTTTAGGAGCTCATCCTGCCCATGAGCCCTGAAAAAAGAGAGGGGGCATCACCAGGTCCAGTCTGGGGGTGGGAGAGGAGAAAGCTACTTCATTCCCTTCCCTGTGCTTCCTTCCTAGGCCCTGGGGTGGCCAGAGCTGCCCTGACCTGGCCCAGGGCCAGGGCAGCACCAGCAATGTCAGCCTCAAGGTAGGAGAGAATCCAAGTGTGGGGGAGGGGAGCAGAAGCTCTGGGAAGGGCTGGGCTGGCCTTGAGAACCCTGACTTACAAGCTAGGCAACTGGAGTGCTCTTCTCCTTTCTCTGCCAGGGATTCATTGTGTTACCCTGGGCAGATCACTTCCCACCTCTGAAACTCAGTTTCCCCATCTGCAAAATGGAGACAACAGAGCCTCTTAGGTGCTTTTGTGAGAAATAAGGTAACTGATGTAGAACACTCAGCATGGGGCCTAGATGCTTAGGAAACAGCTGCTTAATGTTGGAGCCCCTCAGGGAGACATGTAAGGCAGTGCCTCTTCTCAGGACCCCCTTTGCCACACTCCCACCTTTAGCTTGACCTTCTCTTTGGCCCCTTTTCCCCACTTCCTAGCATGGCCCCCAAGGGTGACGCTAGACCAGTGGCTTTAACCTTCTAGCTACAGTTTCTCCATCTGCAGTGGGGACCTGAGCCATGGATGGTACAGAGACAGGATGCCCCCCCCCCCAACCCCGGAGGAGCAGAGGGCTTCTTCTGGAGGTGGCTCAAGCAGCCATGTGTCTCTCTATGGTCCTGAATACCATCAATAATTACTAGTGTTTAATTGAGTACTCATTATGTGCTGGGTACTCTGCATGGATTATCTCATAGCATCTTCACAGCACTCCCAGGAAGCAGGTACTGTTATTATCACACCTACTTTACAAATGGGGTGCAAGAGGTATTGCAGCTAGGAAGTAACAGAGCCCAGGTTGACTTGCTCTCGGCCCCCACACTAATCACCCAACCCTCCTGTTTCTTGAGATGTTCAGCCCTTGGGGAATGAGAGGCTGCATCTATTTCATAGATGAATAAATTGGTGCATTTGGGATCAAGGGCCCCTGCTAGGAGGAATCTGACCCCAGACTTGGCTCCTCTGTTGCCAAGAACAAAAACCTTGGTTTTGAGGGGCAGTGTCCATATGAGTCTGGGGGCCTGAGCCCTCTCCCCTCACTGCCACATCTAGACTGTGCCTCCGGAGAAGACAGTAGACAAAGGTCAGTGTCCCAGGAACATGTCTGTGTCCAGGTACCTCCTCCCAGGTGTGTTTGGGAATCTCAGTCTGGGAGGGCACTGGGGAGGTGGCTGCAGGCTCTCTGGAAGCCTGGGGTGGGCAGAGGCCATGGGCACTTGTGGCAGGCATACCTATACAGCCCCTAATCCCCAGGGCAGCTGGTGCCAAAGGGCCAGAGGCCAGTGGACTCCTGGGAAATTAGCAGTTGGCCTGAGAGTCAGGAGCCCTCACTGTGTGACTTTAGTCATGTCAGTGTCCTCTGGGCCTCACTATCCTCATATGTAGAATGCGAAGGGGTGAGTTAAATGCTGAAGGGCCTTTCCAGAGATCTGCTTCCTTGCCCAGCTCTTGTGGCCCTGGAAGCCTCTCCTTATGGCAACTCTGCTTGTTGTCAGAGCTCGGCTCAGCTCCTCCTGTGTCAAGGTGGGCATCCAGGAGTGTTGAGGGTACCCAGAGGGCAGGGGGAGATACTGTCACCAGGTCCCTGCTTCTGCTTTCCCTCAGGCTCAAGTCCAGAGCCTCTCAGAATGGGACATTCAGGCAGGGAGCTGTGGTTCCTGGCTTTGGAAGCGACGACACAGCTCAGGGGGGCCTGCTGAACCTCTGGGACGCCTACAGAGGCCAGCTGTGGGCAGCGCCTCTGACCTGGCCAGGTATGCCTCCATGGGGCCAGAGAGCCTCGCCCTGGCGGTGACTTCAGCGGAGCCTGCTGCAGCCAAGTGCCCCTCATGCTTGGTGCCAGCTCCTGGACATTTGGAACAGAGATCTCCAGCCTGTGCCTGCCTGCAACCCCTGTACACAGCCCTGAAGTTTCCTCTGAGGCCTGAGCCACTCAGCAACCTGGGAGACATGCTGCCCCGCCCAGCATCCTCCCCCAGGGCAGAGGGGGCAAAGGGCGAGACTGCCAGTCCGGGGCCAGCCCTGTCAGAGCCAGCCCAGTCCTTACATGAGCGTCCCTGTGCCAGGAGGACCCGCTACCACATCACTGTCACCATGCGGGGGCGGGGGCAAGCACCTGGGGAGGAGAGTGAGGAGCCCAAACCGGCCCAACCAGCTCCCCACCCCTGCGGCCCTGAGGAATCCAGGGGCTGGCAGGAGCCTCCGCAGGGGCTCCGCCCCATCACAAGGTGCCTGACTGACCCGCCCCAGGAGCCCCGGCTCAGAGCCCCACATCTACATCAGAGGAGCGCGGCCCAGCGGCAGGAGCTCCAGGCTGGCTGGCCGCCTGGGTCCCCTCACAGACGGTGAGTAGACTTCAGCCTCCATGTAGGGTAACGTGGGGAGGGGAAACTGGCCTGGCTGCCCTCTCTGGGGTCTCTATCTTGTCTCTGAGCTTCTGCAACTAACAGCCCATTCATTCAGCTCCCTGAGCTTGAGCTGACTGCCATCCCCTCCCCTTCCCAACTCTGCCCTCCTTCCCCTCCCCTCATCCACAGGCTACCTCCTGGGACCCACTGCTGCTCTCCTCCTCTGTCCACCTGAGGAGGGGATATCCTGTCATGGAAGGAATGAGAGAGGGGTCACCTTATCCTTAGCAACACCTACCACTGCCTGGGCCTCTTCAGGAGACCACATTCCCAGCCTGAGAAAAGACACTCAGTCAGAGTGCTAGATGTCCTGGGGCAAGTTGCTTAACCTCTCCGGACCTTGAGTTGTCAAGTAGATTTGGTAGCGTGAGATGAGGAAGGAGGAGGTGCTTACAGGAAAACACTTTGAACTCCAGAGAGTTGGGCTGTGGAAACAGCAGGGATGCTTATTAATAACGCCTCAGCTGCAGTAATAATCACCCCACCTGGCTTTGTGTTGGCGGCCACGGTGCTAAGGTTCTCAAGCCTCAGCTTTTGTTTGTGTTGAGATGACTCTCCCAAATCTGCCTGGTGGGCTCCGAGGTGGAAGAATGGGTCCCCTAAAACTCACTGAAGAGGAGGCAAACATGGAACCTCTCTAGAACCACCAGGAGGGGTATTGGGCCTCCAACGGGGCTCTGAGGATTTCCTTCTGATGATGGTGGTGACTGTCATTTATGGTTTGTTTTCTAAGCATAATTCTACTTAATCCTCACTATCCCACCCCAATTACAACTGGGAAACTAAGGCTCAGACAGGTTTCAGCACTTGCTCAAAGTCAACTAGAAACTGAAGGGGCCAGAATTTGAAGCTGAGTGCTTGTGTTCTAATTCCTTCTCTACGATGCCTCTCATGGATGCCCGTGGGCCCAGTGCAGACAGTGGAGGGATGAGTGTGGTTGCTGTGCAGACTCAAGGGCTTTCTGCGACCTGTGAGTGGAGGCGGATTTGGCAGCACTGTGCTAGCAGAGGCAGCAGCAGGGATGCCCAGGCCTCTGGGCAGGAGTCAGGGTAATGATCTTGCAAGGAAGAGAGAGACGTGGGACCCAGGCTGGCTCAGACACGCTGCAGGGTGTGTGTGTGCTCCAGCTTGGGGAGGACCGCAGAGAGAGGGAGGGTGGGTGGAGGAGGCAGGCCCTGGAGAGGGTCAAGGAAGGAGCAGTAGGTTTAGCTGGGGGACTCGGCTGCCACTCCCAGGCTATTTTGGGTACAGGTGGATAATGACAGACGCAAGGAGGCTAGCGCTCACTTAGAGAGGGAAGAAGCGAACCTTCAGGGATGACGTCCTTCTAGGTCTCCTTTCTGGGGGTGGGTTCTCTGGGCCAGGATTGGCAAATACGAGGCAGGACATAGTTGGGGCTGCAAGTGGGAATATGTAAGCTGTGTATGCATCTATGTGTGTACACCTGTCCAAGTGAAGGTAAATTTCAAGGGGAGGTAGGCTGGGGGCTGTGAATTGACCATGTGTTTATCATGAATGTGTGCATGTGTCATTGTGTCTATGTGTTTCTGTGTGTGTGATATGTGTGTCTACTGTGTCTATCTCTGATTGTGTGTTTGTGTGTCTGATTGTGTAGGTCTGGTAAGTGTCTGTATATGTTTTTGTGCCTTTGTGACTCTGTGTGCCTGTGCCGTGTGTCTGTGTGTGCCTGTGTGTGACGCAGCATGTGCTGTGGGCCTGTGGACTGGTTTGGCCTAGTTTGGGGGTGACTCACAGGTAAGCAGAGAGAATCCAGGACTTGTTGGGTTAGACAAGGCTCTTTCCCACACTCCCCCCCCATCCCCTCCTCAGCCTCTCCCTTTCCCACACACCTGGTTTGGAGGTCACAGGTTATCCTGCCGACAAATCCACCTCTGGTCCAGGGCCCTGGAGAAGAGACGGCTCTGGGAATAGGCATTTCTGCTGGCCTAGGAGAGCCATCCTGGGTCACTGGGGTGTGTCTTCAGAGGAAGAACAAAACAGAGGAGCTATAGGCAGGCATATTCCTGCATAGTTTGAAGAACATTCTAGCAGTCATGACTCTCCAGGGATGGGTCAGCTGTCAAATTGTGACCTCCCTGTCCCTAGAGGTATGCTAGCAGCAGAGAATGACCACATGTTTGTGAAATGACTACCAGGGGTGTTGTCCAGGGGCTGGGTTGAGAGAGGCATTGAATTCTGATTGTTGAGAGGTGACTGATAATATCTGATCTGATCACCGAAGGCTTCCTTTGAAGCTGCTCTCCTGTTGCTTTGCCATAATCTATGGGGTCTTCCAAATATGGTTCCTGTTTTTATGCCTAATTCTTTGACCCCTGGACTGCTCGGATACCAACTTCAAGAGAAAATTGGCTTTAAATGAATCTTACCAGGGCCTAGGGCATCACTTAACACAGTTAGCACTGAATGAATGAATGAGCAAACAAGTGAATGAATGAATAAATGACTTAGAACCCAGGCTTTGCCCCTTACTATCAGTACCATCAGGGACAGGGAATTTTAGTGAACGGTAGTTGTTAATGTTTGTCAGAAATAAAGTTGACACGTGGGGGAATCCGCCAGGGCGAAGCTCCATGAGGGACCAGTCCTAGCAAGGAGGACAGGGGCTCTGTTGGAAGAAAGGGGGCTCCCTAGTGAGGACAGGGGAGAGGGTTGGGCCTCAGTAAAGGGCTACAATCCAGGGCCTCAAATGTCTTATTGTGTCACTGTCAGGAATTTTGGCCTGAGGAAAGGACTGGGCATCCATCTCAGCCCCTCACCTCCCCCATACACAAGGCTTTTCTGGGGCCACTCAGATCCTGTCCCAGGCCAGGCCACATGCTCTCATAGCCACCAGTGGTCCCGGAATCAGGTCAGGCTTCCCTGGGCCTCAGCCCCATTCATCTCTGCCCTTATAAAACCTGAGTCACTACTGAGGCCACAAGACAGGGTCAAAGTTCTGGGTTCCACCAGCTTCTCAGGAGGACAGGAAATAGAAGGGGAGGGAAGTTGGGGGCATGGGTCCATTTCTGGCCTTAACTTCCCTTATAATGGTCTGAGGGCTGCATCAAGGAGAGGTGGAACAGATCTGAAGACAGGTTGACCCCTCAGGCCCTTGAGAACTGAAAATAGGATTGCCCTGCTCAGTATAGCCTGCAAGTCGGAGTTGGGGCTGCATGGCCCCTCCAGGACTGCTGTGGCCTCCTTTAGAAGTAAATCTTCAAACCATAGAGTCTCAGTTCACCAGATGCATTAGGGAATTTGATTTGGTGGTTAAGCCCTTAGGGTTGAGTTCTACTCTTGCCTCTGCTACTGTGTGACTCTAAGCAAATTTCATAACCTCTCTGAGACTTTTTTCCCCCTCATATGCAAAATGGCAATGTTTGTTTATAATTTACTAATAACTTATTCTCTTTTTTTAACTTGAAGTATAGTTGATTTACAATATTGTGTTAGTTTTAGGTATACAGCAAAGTGATTTAGTTACATATATATATATATTTTTCAGATTATTTTCCATTATAGATTATTACAAGATTTTGAATATAGTTCCCTTGCTGTATAGTTAACCCTTGTTTATTTTTTTCTCTCTCTATATTTTTATTGAAGTATAGTCAGTTTACAATGTTGTATCCATTTCTGGTGTACAGCACAATGCTTCAGTCATACATGAACATACATATATTTGCTTTCATATTCTTTTTCGCCATAGGTTACTACAAGATATTGAATATGGTTCCCTGCGCTATGCATTATGAATTTGTTATTTATCTATTTTATATATATTAGTATCTGTAAATCTTGAACTCCCAATTTATCCCTTCCCATCCCCTTCCCCTCTGATAACCATAAGTTCATTTTCTATGCCTGTGAGTCTGTTTCTGTTTTGTAAATAATTTCGTTTGTCTTTTGTTTGTTTGTTTTAGATTTCACATATAAGTGGTATCACATGGTATTTTTCTTTCTTTTTCTGGCTTACTTCACTTAGAATGATGATCTCCAGGTCCATCCATGTTGCTGCAAATGGCATTATTTTATTCTTTTTTATGGCTGAGTTCTATTTTATATATAGTAGTTTGTATCATTAATTCCATACCCCCAGTTTATCCATCCTCTCCCCTTTTCCCTTTGATAACCATAAGTTTGTTTTCTATGTCTGTGAGTCTGTTTCTATTTTGTAAATGAGTTCATTTGTATTATTTTTTAGATTCCACATGTAAGTGATATCATAATATTTGTCTTTCTCTGTCTGACTTACTTCATTAAGTATAATATTCCCTAGATCCATCCATATTGCTGCAGATGTCAATATTTCCATTCTTTTTTATGGCTGAGTAATATTCC